AAAGCATTAAGCAAAGTGTTCAGCGATCTCACCGATCGATTAATCCCGAATGCTTCTATCTGCAAGAAGGTTCTAACGGCCAGTTTGGGCTTACCCGCAAGCCCATAACTCCGAGTCAAATTTATGAACAATTGCTCGCCGCATTTTATTCCAGAGCGCTGCAACTGAGAGAGAAGTTCTTCGACTTGATCGAATTCACGTGCCCGGGAGAGTCTCTGAATGATGGCGTGATATGTATCATAGTTGTGGGAAAACCCAGGATGATATTTGCCCGCGTAGTCGAAAATTTGGAAGGCAAGGTCGAGCTTTTGTTGACGGGTGATCATTGAAACGAGACGCTTGGGGTAGAGGCGCTGAGGCCAGGGTTTGATTGGCGGTGTCACGGTGTAGGATTTGATAAGAGTGGAATCAAAGTAGCCGGCGGCGGCGGCCGTGGAGAAGGAAGTGGCTGCGGTGATATAAGGTGGTGGAGAATGCAGTCTACGAAGGCGACGGAGAGAGAAGCTGTAATAGACATTCATGGCGAAGAAAGATGAGTATCCAAGCAAATAGACCAGAGAGGTTGAAGACGGTGGCACCGAGCAGAGTGTAGCTCCAAGCATTTGGGTATTCAGATTTTATTATTTAGGAAGGTGTCCGTAAATGAATTTTTGTGGGGACTCCTGTGAATTTACATGTTACATTGTGTTTGGATGGCAAATATAATCGATTTTTGGCTCAAAAAATTGATTCTTCAAAAAATTATCCAAACACCCACTTTTTTGGAGAATCCATTTTCAGGCCAAAAATCGATTATTTCCAAAATATTGACGAAAATTACAAAGACAGGCTCAAGCAAAAATTACAAAAAAGCCATATAATTTAATAAAAATAAAACCAGACTCTCTTTTTTTCTCTTTTTTTTTCTTAATAAAATTTGAACATTGCATCTTCAAAAAATTGATATTTGATATTTAAAAATTAAATTATATAGTAATTTATATAACTAAAGTTGATTCTAATTAAATTATCCAAATATCTTTAATTCTGTTAAAATTAATTTTAAAAAAACAGTATCCAAACAGATTGCGTTATAACATAATCAATTATGATTAAAATTTACCACTTAATCAATTATTTTTATAATCTATTATACCCAACTGAAATCCAAACGGACCCTTACTATAATTGGTTAATCGATTAATTTTAATACTTATACAAATTAAAATATCTTTGTGATTAATTTTAATTTTTTTCTAATTTAATAATATTATCATTTAATGAGGACAATTTAAAAAAATGTCATAAATACTTTTTTAAAATTATTGTTTTACTTATATTAAAAAACAACAAACCATATACTAAGTATAATTTATTTTCACGTATTTAAAAAAATGGGGGAATCTTTTGAGATTAGGTGCAGTAAAATGAGATGAACCACATTTCAAATTTTCGTTAAAAACTGTGCTCATATTTAATATTATTTGTGCCTGAAAAACAACCTCAAATTAATATACATTATATCTATACCTTTGAGCAATAAGACAATAAAGGAAATTTTGTTTAAAAAAGACAATGAAGGAAATGCTAGATAGACAAAAATAACTTGAAGTTAATATACATCATATATTTATATCAGATGCTTTAAGAAGGGGCCAGACCGAATGGTCTTACCAATTTGACCATTAAAAACTTGGTTTCTTCAAAAAAAAAAAAAAAGAAGGTTCAAAGGGTTGAGCCAGGTAAAGAATTGGGAACAGGACAGGGCCAGACTGGTCTGATGCTTTTTCTTATTAAAAATGAATCTAAATTCTAAAATTAAATGACAACACCGGGTAGGTTTAACCTGAACTGAAAATTATAAATCCTCAATTAGTATATATTTTTAATAATTCACATGATAGATGCTAGTTCTTTCATGCAGATTTTTTTTCACAGTTTCCTGTTTATTTTTTATATTTATATTATTTATGTGTGTATAATATTTTTATTTAATTATTACATCATTAGTTAGACTGTCAGTTTAACTAATTAGATTATAAGAATCATAAAACGCTATACTTTTTTATTCGTGGTCCAATCCAACTTTTGAAATATAGCATCATTATTTTCCTCTAAAATTCTCCAAGTTTTTCTCTATCTTTACATATGTTACCTTCACATTTGTTTTTGAGTAAAAATATAAATTTGATCATATATTATTTTTCGAGAAGTATGTGATAGCTTAAACTATCAAATCGTACAAAATAAATTATGAACTTTTAAAAATGGAGTATCCGATAGCCTGCCGTTAACTTTAACCGACGGACGTTTGTGGGGCCCACAATGACGCGTGGCACAACATGCGCACGACACGTTAGCATGGTAAAAGTACAAATTTAGTTACGAACTATTTTCTAAAAAGCACTGAGTAGCTTCTACTATAAAAAAATAAACCATCCAATACTTTTCTCTCAATTTTGACCAAACAATGTTTATTTTCATATTTATGAGACCCACAAAGCATTAATCTCTTCAATCTTCTTATCTCAGCTTGAGAAGAAGAGGGTCAAAGAGTTCTTATTTGAAAATATTCATGAAGATGGCGCTAACAAAGTAGAAGAAATCATTAGTAGCTAAATTAAGCTAGAATCAAGCTTCTCCCATGCATAGTAGAATTAATCTTTTACTTCATTGACATCATCCTTGTAAATATTTTTAGATAAAAACTCTTTGAACCTTTTTTTCTTGAACTGATACTAATAATGAAGGCAAGAAGATTGAAAAGATTGATACTTTATGAGCCTCATAAGTGTGAAAATAAGTAAAAATAAATGATGTTTGGTCAAAATTAAGGGAAAGATATTGAATGATCCTTTTTTTATAATCAAGACTACCCAATGTTCTTCAAAAAATAATTCGTGATTAAATTTACACTTTTATTATGCTGATGTGTCGTGCCATGTGCCATTATAGGCCCTACATAATGTTTGTCAACTAAAGTGAATGGCAGGCTGATAAATACTTTATTTTTGAAAGTTCATGATTTATTTTGCACCATTGAATAGTTTAGGCCACCAAATATTTCTAGAAAGATAATTTATGACTAAATTTGTTATTTTACCATTTGTTTTTCTTGATACCTTTTTCTCAGTATTATAGCCACTTGTTTGCTCAATTTTTTTTTGAATGAAAAGACACAGACAAGACCGTGCTAGGGTTACAAAAGTCACGACACATCAGAGTCCAAGATGTTCCTATATCCTATAGGCGAAACATTATAGATAGAGAGGTCGTAGTGGTTATACGAAGTTTCTCGTGTGAGCAAATTAGCACATTTGTTTGCCTTTTTAAAAACGTGGTCAAAAGTAACCGTCCAGTTTCTCATAATAAGCTCCCTTATTTTCTTGATGGTTACCGCTAGAGGATGGCTTTCAGAGAAATTATGTCGAATAAAAGAAAGAGCTTCGATAGAGTCAGTGTGTAAATTAATCTTGGTAAGATTAGCATTCCAACCAATCTAAAGGCCTTCTAAAATGCTTGATAATTCAGCTGCAGTGTATGGTTGATAGCCAAGAAATTTTGAAAAACCAATAATCCAATTTGCTTTTTTATCACAGATGACTCCACCACAAGTTGCAGCACCAAGAGAGTTAACTGAGTCGTTTACATCAAGCCTAACCCATCTTGCCTTCGGAGGACGTCATTCAGACTTTGATCTGAGTCTGTTGTTATTCAAAATATCCAATCTTGATAGAAGCCACATTTCATTTATGATTTGTTGGGTACAAGAGAAGGTGATATCTTTGTCTTGATTGTCATCTTCAGAATACAATCTCTTGCATCTCATTTTTCATATGTTTCAAACAAACATGAGCAAAGAGCTTCTACAAATTAATTTTTCTTGTGCTAGTATTCCCTGCTTCATTTCTTGCATTCCAAGCTATCCAGTCTTGCATATTAAGAGAGAAAAAATTATTTAGCTTGAAAGGATTGACTAACTTTAGCCAAACCTCCCGCACTTCCTTGCAATCTTGTAAGATGTGAATTAAAGAGTCTGGAGAGTTACAACCAAAGATGCAGTTTTGTTGTATTGGGTTGTGTCCTTCATTGGTTGTAAAATTACTCTGTAGGCAATCCCAAGCTGCTTTCCACAGGAAACATTTGATTTTTTCATATATAAGCCACTTCCAAATTTTAGACCAAATATTAAAATTTTTTTGTTCATTTTGGGATTCCAGCTTTTTGCAAGCGAATTTTATAGAGAAATTTCCATCAAAAGAAGACCTCCAACAAAGGGCATCACTAGCACCATGAGGGTTAGGAAGTTGGACAAGAGCGATTTGATTAATCACATCAAGATGAAGATGATGATTAAGAAGGTTGAAATTTCATCTTCCAAAAGGCATGCATAAATAAGAGATTTTGGTGTGAAGAATAGATTCAGCACCAAGGAGTGTATATTTAACAAGAGGTTCAGGAAGAGAAGCCCATTTGTCATACCAAAAAAAAATTTGGTTACCTTTATCCACTTTCCATCCGACTTGAGACATAAAATTTTTCCAAATTTGCAAATACTGCTCCAAGTGTAAGAAGAACTTGATTTATAGATCATTGGAATAGCCATTTTGCTGCATTTGTATTTATCCCGAAAAATTTAAACCTAAAAACGTTTATGTTGAGTGATGAGACCCCAACATAATTAATGATGTAGGCAATATTTTAATTATTGAGATTTTTGAATTCGAGTACCCCATTTGATTTATCTTTAGTGACACAATTCCAAAAAAAAACAGATTAGGCTTTTTGGTTCTATCAAAAGAGTTCCAAAAACAATTCCTCGAGCATCTTTCTAGCTCAGCCAGAATATTATTAGGAATGAGCCCCGCTTCTTGTTTGCTCAATTTGAATTATAGGGTCCAGTCCCGCTAAATTTGATTTTGAACAACGACTCCAAACTTGAGAGTTGGAACCCAAACAGAAGGCAAAACTAAGTTTAGCAAAGTGCGCAAATCAATTAGAACAGAAAAATGCAATGGGGCCTCAGGTACGTCATTCCTGCTTAATTAAGATTTACATGATTACAAGAGAACTTGAAGAGAAAAGAAAGGACAACAAAACAAACTGAATTGTTTTCCAATCAAATAAAATCCCTTAAGCGCATGAAAACTCTCTTCTTTTTCCTGTGAATTAACTTACCATATAAACCTTTGGATTCCAGCTCATGATCCCAACTGAATGGCCTAAACAAAAACATCATCATTGTGAAAACATTTACACAAATGTATAACATCCCTGTGAGATACCAACGTCCACTTTTATCACCATTACTGTGAAGCACCAAGAAGAAGAATGGTATGGTGTAGTATCTAAACTCTATAAGAGGCGCTGGAACGAGAACAGCAGCAGTAGCCAGAAAGTATGCCAAAACCCAGATTTTATTTTGAAATTTCCCTGTTTGGCAGAAGACAGTAGTTAATAAGCCATAACGTTATAAGCAAATGAAACTTAAAAGAATGCTTGCTAAGGATTTGTGCTCACCCAAGGTACGGATAATGGAAAGCCATGACCATATATAAAGTGGAACCATAAGGTATTTGATTGACCAGTGAGCCATGATGATCTTCCTCCAGATATAGAAAGGGTAGTGCCGGTTGTCAGCGAGAAGGTATGGATGAGCAACACTGCATTAATCAACCAACAGTGATTACAAAAATGGGAGTAAAACAGTCCAAGAATGCATAAAAAGTTATAAAAGCTGAGTTTATTTTCATCTGAGTGAGCTTCTCATAAACCAGTGTTGCTACATATACACAGTTGAAAGAAGACAAATATAAACAAATAATTAGGTCTTTACATATCTGGTTCTAACTCCGCCTATGTTATATAGCCGGTCCCAAGCCCGGGTAAAGGAGGAGGGTTTGTGTTAGGCCATCAACAGCCAATGTAAAAATTTGTTGAATCTATCATGAACATGGACAATAGACGTTATAATGTTAATGCTAGGTCGTTGCCCGTAAGTAACGCGCTGCATGGCTCGAGTACAGTGATAAGTGAGTTAGAGCCGCTGCATCGGCGCCCGGATGTAGTGTTAAATGAGCAAGGGCTACCGCGTCATTCTGGACGCACGCGGCTAAAGAAGTTAGTCCATAAGAGCAAAATTAGATTTGGTACTTGGAATGTTAGGACATTAAATTGTAAATCTGTAGAGGTTGTAGGGGTTATGATTCAAAGGAAAATCAATATCCTTTGCTTGCAAGAAACAAAATGGCGTGGAGAAGAAGCTAAGGATATTCAAGGTTTCAAACTTTGGTATACAGGAAAAGTAAGTGCACGCAATGGAGTAGGCATCATTATAGATAAGGAGTGGAAAGAACGTTGTAGAAGTTAGCAGAATTGGAGACAGAATTATTTCTTTAAAAATGATATTGGACGTGAGACTGTTAATATTGTTAGCGCTTATGCGCCGCAAGTCGGGACAGAGCCAGTCTTAAGGATTATTTTGGGAGGATCTGGGGTTGATTCGACACATACCACAGAGTGAAAAGATTTTTATTGGAGGAGACTTTATGGGCATGTCGGGAGGGAAGCTGGTCAGTATGCGAGGGTGCATGGTGGTTTTGTTTTGGAGAGCTAAACAATGAAGGGCAAACTCTTCTTGATTTCTCATTGGCGTAGATTTTAAGATTGCCAATACTTGTTTCAAGAAGAGAGATGAGCATCTCATCACCTACAAAAGTGGAGCCTCAAGGTCGCAGATTGATTTTCTTTTGGTTAGGAACACAGATAGAAAACTTTGTAAAAATTGTAAGGTGATCCCTGGAGATGCTGTAACGACACAACATAGGGTCCTAGTCCTTGATGTGTGTATTATGAGTAAAATCCAAAAACGTCGACAAGTAGTAACACCAGGATTAGGTGGTGGCAATTAAAAGGTGAGAAGCAAGATATTTTCAAGCGAAATCTTTTGGATAAAGGAATTTGGGATTCTCAGGGAAGTGCTAACATCATATGGGAGGATATGGCTAAAAAGATACGGGAGGTTGCAAAGTAGTTTTGGGAGAATCGAAAGGTCCTGGTCCGAGAGATAAGGAGTCTTGGTGGTGGAATAATAGTGTACAGGACAAAATCAAGTATAAGAAGAACTTTTTAAAGCCATACATTTGTGTAACAATGAGGAAAATTGGGAGAGGTACCGTATGGCTAAGAAGGAAACTAAGAGAGCTGTGGGTGAAGCTCGTTCTAAAGCTTTTGAAGAATTTTATAAGAACCTTGAGACGAGGAAGGAGAGCAAAATATTTATAAGATTGCCAAGAGTAGGGAAAGAAAATCAAGAGATCTAGAACAGGTAAGGTGTATAAGGATGAGAGGAAGAATTTTAGTTACAGATGATGAAATTAAAATAGATGGAGACTTATTTTTCTAAACTTTTCAATGATGGAGAGGATTCATCTAGTAACTTGGAGGATTTAGTAATTGGTGAAGGAGAACAAAATTTGTCATTCTATCGAAACATCGTGATAAGGAGGTAAAGGAAGCTCTTAAGAAAATGGCAAATGGTAGAGCTAACGGACCTGATTGTATATCTATCGAAGCATGGAAATGTTTAGGTGAAGAAGGGGTGAGATGGTTAACTAAGTTATTTAATGTGATTTTACGGTCCAAGAAAATGCCTGATGAGTGGAGGAGAAGTACATTAATTCCTATTTATAAAATAAAGGAATATTCAGAATTGTACTAACTATAGAGGGATTAAACTCATGAGCCACACAATGAAATTGTGGGAGAAAGTAATTGAGCATAGGTTGAGATTGGAGACAAGTATTTCTGAGAATCAATTTGGTTTTTGCCAGGTAGATCAACTACAGAGGCGATTTATCTACTAAGGGGATTAATGGAAAAGTATCGTTGTAAAGATAAAGATCTACACATGGTTTTTATTGATTTGGAAAAGCTTATGACCGTATACCAAGAGAAGTGCTTTGGAAAGCGTTGGAAAAAAAGGGAGTACGGATTGCTTATATTAAAGCCATACAAGATATGTATGAGGGGGTAAAAACTAGTATAAGAACGCCTAGTGGTCAAACAAAGGATTTTCCTATAAAGATTGGGCTACATCAGGGATCATCTCTGAGTCCTTATTTGTTCAACTTGATTTTAAATGTTTTGACGGAACATATTCAAGAGGAAATCCCGAAATGTATGCTCTTCGCGGATGATATAGTTCTTATAGCAGAGACAAGAGAAGAGGTTAATTGCAAACTTGAGTTATGGAGGAGGACATTGGAGTCGAAAGGTTTTCGTCTGAGTAGAAGTAAGACGGAATATTTATATTGTAAATTTGATAAAGGACTATTCGAAAATAATTTGGAAGTAAAATTGGGAGATCAAATTATACCTCAAGTGGAAAAGTTTAGATATTTGGGAGCCATTATCCAAAATGATGGCGAAATCAGTGGAGATATTTCACATAGAATTCAAGCTGGGTGGTTTAATTGGAGAAAAGCTAAAGGAGTTATTTGTGACCGTAAGGTGCCTAATAAACTTAAAGGAAAGTTTTATCGTACTGCTATCAGACCGGCAATGTTATATAGTAGTGAATGCTGGGCTCTAACGGGACAGCAAGAGCATAAGTTGGAGTAGCAGAGATGAGAATGTTACGATGGATGTGCGGACATACACGTAAAGATAAAATTCGAAATTACGTGAAAAAGTGAGGGTGGCACCTATTGAGAGTGAGAATGTTACGATGGATGTGCGGACATACACGTAAAGATAAAATTCGAAATGAGCACATACGTGAAAAAGTGAGGGTGGCACCTATTGAGGAAAAATGGTAGAAAATCGGTTGAGATGGTTTGGGCATGTACAAAGAAGACCAGGGAGGCACCAGTGAGAAGAGTGGAACATATACTTTGAGTCCGATTAAGAGGTAGAGGAAGGCCTAAGAGAACACTCTTGGAAGTTGTTGAACGTGATCTCTTAATTAATAATATTTCTAAAAGCTAATAAATGATAGAGCACAATGGCGTCTTGCAATCCATGTAGCCGACCCACCTAGTGGGATAAGGCTTGTTGTTTTGTTGTTGTTTGTGTTGTTTCATATCTGGTTCTGTGATAATCATCCAAAAAATCCAAAATAATATCATCCTCATATCCTTCAGTCACTGTAAAAAGGATTAATGGATAGCTAGTTTGCTGCTTTAGAGATTAACTCATACAGTAAATAATTTTCAAGTAGTAAGTTAAGTAGTCATAACAATTAATGGACCAAATAATAATTTATTGGTTCATTAAAAATGTATCAAGTGCTAAACCCTAGATGAAGCATAGACAAAGGAGAAATTGATTATTCGGAGTGATTAGAATTTAAATAGATCGTATTGACAACGCTCCATATTGTAACATAATAAGCAATGGAAGATAGCAATAAAAAGTACTGGGAAAGGGGAATATAATTTTAACGGCACCTCCACCCTATTTATTGACAAGACAAATCAGTTTAAAATTTCAAAGCATGCACATTGTTGCTAATAATCAAAACACGTAATAAATTTTATGTTCTAAATGTGTAATTAATTTTCTGAGCTAACCTGAAAAAGTGTACAGAGACAAAGCCCGCGGTCAGAGCCATGAACCCCAGAAAGAAACCAAAGGTCATATTTTTCCTAAAGTGCTGGAACTGGTCTGTAGCATGGGTGACAGTGAAATTCATAGGAGCCAGAGCCATTACAGAAACCAAACTGAAATAAAGTATCTGAGCAAAATGCGGGGTAACTGCATGAGCTTCTTTGCACCTGAAGTGTCAGAAAGACAAGTCAAAATAGGAGTTTTAGTGGCCCAAAAATTTACATGGGATAATAATAACAGAAGGAATCTTACCAAGAACAATACTCCCATTCCAAAGGACAAACAAAACAAAGGCAACCAATACCATCACAAAGGGGCTGAATGAGATCAAAAGTCCCACTTCATTGCCATAACGTTAAAAGGATTGCCCAAATATCCTCAAGCAGGCCTGCAAGAAGAAACCGGATATGTAGTTATTTTAATATTTCATTTAAAAAAAAAAACAGAGGGAGATGCGAATAACTTTTCTGCAGCCAGGTTACAACGTCACTTGCTCACGAGCATAAAAAAGGCTAGGCACTAAACAAGTAAATAATAAACCTGAAGGGGCAGGAGAAGATGCAGGTGCGTTGGGCATATAACTCTTGACAGTGTCTGTTGCTTTAACGCCCTTTCGCTTTCTCAGATTTAAACCCACTGTACTAGTGCTGCTATCACATGCCAACCCGGGTTTAGTTATAGACAGATCCGACTCTGCTGTTATTGCATTTTTCTTTCCGTGTGTCATAGCAATGTCTATGATCTGAGTACATGCGACAAAAAGTACCCATATAATATTTGTTGTCGAATAACCACTGAGAAGGCTCCAATCTGCATAAATAAAATTGGATTAGTTACTAACACTCTAAAATTTAGCATTTGCAAGTAAAATAAATTGTCCCTTTCACTAAATTTTTTCCCACCCATATTCCATATGACATATCCATAAATTTAATCATCAACATGCATAGATTAAAGGAAAAAAATGCACCATATCAAAAAAGCTCCCAACGTCAAATAAAATATCACTTTAATCACAGAAGCATCAAAAGTGCATACAACAGAGTCCAATAGCCAAGTAAAATAACCGACACTTGAATGTTGATGATCCAGAACAAAAGGGCATGCAGAAAAAAGAAACATGGAGATAAAATTGTACCAAGCTCAGAAATGAAAAAAGGATAGACCTTTGAGTTCAAATAGTATCAGCTAATTTATAAAATTAAATTTCTTGAATATTGCCTTGAACTTTGTGGGCATGCAAGAAAAAAGATAACAGAGATTTATTTAGACAATGACATGGACATATGATGTGATTTTCCTGGTTGCTAGTAAGAACCCAGTAAACAACATTGAGAAACACCTACGTCTGTCTAGTATACGTTCATCAGCCATGCAAGAATGTTAAATGGTGGGGCATCTGTGTATCTATTATTCTAATTGAGTAGAAACAGTTTTACAGGGAAAGAAAATAAATAGACATCGGGAGGCATACATATTCCCAACATAAGATAAGCAACAAAAGAGGAAAACCTAAGAAATTTAAAAAAAGCAAAGCTGACTGATTTCTACATATAAAAATTGAATCTCCCTTAAACTGACAGGATCCAATATAGGTAGGGAGAAATAAGGAAAATAATCTTTATTAAATATGAAATCAGAATAAATTAATAAAGATAAAGGAAAATCTTTATAGAAGATGAGCAAGAATCTTAAACTCATACAACTAATGAAGCCAAAGGAAAATCTCCACTCATATAACAAAATAATGATTGTATTTCCAGATGATTTCTACATGTTGTGCCTTAGTATTTATAGACAGAAAAATGATTAATAATTCCTAAAAATACTCCCATTAATCCATAACTCAGATATGGGGCATAACTATCAGAAAAATAAATAAATAAATAAAATTACTACATAATCTACAATACCCAATACTCCTAAATTTAAGGACCACTCAACAAAACATAAAAATAATCTTAAAAATTTTTAAACAGATAATATCTAAAATAACTTGAAAATAATAATTATTCCTGATATTTCTATAACTACACCACATCACCATTATCCAATGCTACTCGGTACTCTATCATAAACAAACATGCACAGGGTACCAAAGGGAAGCCATAAACAAAGATTATTCCATCCTTTCCCACAAAAGATGCAGGGACAAAACAAAGGTCATGAAATTCTTCTCCAACAGTACAAACCAAAGAGAAGCATAAACCATATGTTGGCACAAAATTTTGCTCTCCTTTTTTGCATCAGAACTATCAAAATAAATCAGAAGAAATACTCCAAAGTGCTAGGACAAACCTAGTGTTCATCAAGTTTTCTAAGGTAAGTTTCTGCCTGACAATGTAGAAAGTAGAAACAAACAGGACATTGCTAAATCAGATCTACACATAGCCAAGAATTCTAGATGGCAGGCAACTTTGTTGAAAACCAGTGCATTAAAAATGCACGCTCAATAGGCGATGCAGAATACTAGAAAAGAGGAGCTCTGGGATGAAAATATTAAATCCACCAAAATAAAACAGACAAATTCCATTGTGGAAGGATAGTTTACAGCATAAACTCCTAAAAATACCTTACCAATGCGCTAAGCCAGTAATTCTTTTTCAAGCATGCAAGATACATAGCCAGCACTGCCGATACAGATGCAACATCTGTATAATAGAGAAAAGTGAAGAACCAGTGGAGGGGATACAAGGATAGAACCACTGCTTGAAGCACCGCCTGTTTATCATCAAGTGTTGGCTTCAAGTGAGTATTTATGTCATAAATAATTATGCTGCATGCAACTGCTAAGACACTATTGAATGATCGAAGAATTGAAGTGGAGCACAAATCAGCAAATGTTGAAGCAGCTTGCACTGTGTAAAAGCCTGGAAACAAAGAAGCAACATGGGCAAGTGAAAGACAGTACCTGCAAAGTTTTAATATTGCAAAGATCAACCTTGGTATTTGACAGTATCTTGTTTTTAATATATATATATATATATATATATTTGTTATAAAAAGTTAGTTATCTATGCAGGACTATTGAAGTTCCTCAGCATGTTCCTCAGAGAAGAGAAGCACTAAACATGGTTCGTGTATCAATCACCATCATTTTCAAATACTCTTTGACAAAATCAGAATAATGCAATGAGATCAGTAAACAAAATTGTATAATTGATAGCTCAACTTATTCTGTACATAGTATTCAATATTTTAAAAAACATCATCGCACAAACTTAATATTTAATGACTTAAGATCCTAATACTGTAGTTTAAACATAAAAGGACAAAAAAAATAATTATAAATTGCAGCAATTTCATCAATGTTATCCTTCTAGATTACTCATCAACGCAACTTAGGGCCTGTTTGGGTAACCCTCAAGCACATTTAAACCACATCTAGGATGTGCTCTTGTCAAATCCAACAAATAGTTGGATTCTCCAAATGCACTTTTGCCAGATGTAAACTGAAAACCAAACATATACTTAATGCCTTGAGTTTAAACTAGAGCAACTCATCTCTCTAATTATCATATTCAAGCAATGGAATATGATAGTTAAAGGGGCTGAAGGATGATAAATAACCTCCTATAAGTCAGAGGGAGCTTAAAATTATCTTTGAATACTTTCTTTGGGACTTAATTGCAGTTTTAATTCCTCCAGTTTTAAAAATTTTCAAATATGGTCTCCCTAGTTTCAATTGAACAATGTTGCCCTCTTCAATTTGAACGAGGCTTCTACCACTTCATCTCCATGTCAACAAGAGAGTTGCAACAACAAAGGTAATTCCCCATCGGAAATATGGCATTGGCATGTCAACAGAAACATCAAGTCAACAGCACATTGACTGAGTGACCTGACAACTAAGAGAGCATATAAGCCTTTTTTTTCAAATAAGTAGATGAAAAGGATAGGCCTAATTGAAACTGGAGATGACTAAATAGTTCTGCAAGAAAACTAGAGAAATAGATTGCTCTGATAATAACTATAGAAACTATGTTGATTTACTGAGAAAATTAGAAGAATCAAAAGAGTATTTATCATAATTCCAGGTCACATAATGGACCTAGTTATAAATCTTATTCAGTAACTCTGTGTCTGCTTCTGATGGCACAGCACATAATATACACAAAATTCAACAACCACTGTATGAGTTTTGCTTGAACACAAATTAGTATTGTGCAACAATCCATAAATTATTTAGGACTTTCTAACCACTGGAAGCCATAGTTAGGAAGTAACTTTTTTTTTTTTTTGTCTTTTTATATTCCTTTATCATTTCATCCAGTCCATCAGATCAATCAGCTATAGTATTAATTCTTTATTCAAATGTATAGGGCAACAAGCATCAAGTTTCCAAGAACATACAGGCCAGGAGGTGTAGTAATCATAGGATCCCAACTTCCAAATCTCCCTTGCAGTATTTCTGAACCTGTGGTATATGAAATATCTCATCCTGCAAAAACAAGAGCATACCATATCGAAACACAAATTTCTTCAAATCATTTATAGGAATTGCATTGATTTATCCCCGAGTTTCAACAACTTTGCTTACCATATATGGCTCAGGAACAATGTGATTGACGAGTATGGTGATAGGAATAACCCACAAGCTCACAATTACTGCAAGAGCTATTTTTCCCATTTCTTCCTATATGGAACAACAATATGAAACTTGGTCCTAGAGACTCAAGGACCAAAAAGTTATCTTGAGGTCAATGCAACTAAAGATAACTTCTTTCCCTTCTGGGGACAGGGATCCTTCTTCAGGGTAGCATGACCAAAGGGCCTCTTTAAGATGATCTTTACACCGGAGCCAGTCCAGGAAACTCAAAAGTGTATAGCATCCAAGAGAAAGGGATATGAAGCAGTGAGGAAAACTTTTCTCACAACTACAAATTGCTTGACCTAAGCCAGGAAAGGGTGAAGTTATTGACATATCTACTCATCAGATCAGATGAAAAAGTGATTATATGAGTTTTCTTCTTAAATAAAAGTAAAAGAAAATTTGTAGGTAACTTCATGAGTAATGGGCAATGAAACCTAAGGATTCAATTACCCAACAAATAGCAACTGCATATAACATTTTTAACAATATCTGATCAACCAATTGTAATTGTAAGATAATCCCAATTCAGTTACAGCAACAAGCAGAAAAATACTAGAGAAGAAAATATCATGCAAAATCCCACATGATAATAAAGCATGTCTAATTTTCATTATGAAGCTAGAAAAATGTGCTTGCCTCCATTCCTTCATAATAAGTGGAAACCTGATGGAATACTTGTAAAAGACATGGTCTAAGATTTACTCATATGCAAGGTTGCAACAAGGACAACAAGAAGCCTTATTCTATTAGGTGAAGTTCACTACCTAGATAACAATACCATTATATTCTATCAATAACCAAACTGTTGGATATATTGTTAATTAAAAGGTCTTGTTCAGCAACTTCATTGAGTGTTTTATTTAGCCTTCCTCTACCCCCTCTTCACAGAACTCAATGCGATCCTCACCAACGCCTTCCTCAAATCTTCTTTGTACATGTATAAACCATCTTAGCCTTTTGAAACAACATAGAAATATATTACTCTACTGATACATATAAATTGGAAATTCATTACCCTCATTAAGTCCCACATGGCATATCAGATTTAATATTTTCTAAAAAAAAACTAATTTAATCCACAGAAACAATAGAAGTCTCAGTTTGGTCCATGTTTTTCAACGAATTCATCCATCTCAACCACAGCCCCCCCCCCAAAAAAAAAAAAAAAAAAGTTCCTTGCAATTATAAGCTTATTCAGCAATGCCATACCTATTGATGGTTACAAATTCAACTGTTGATAAATTATCGTCTCAATTTGTTTATGTTTTGGTGTTTACTATAATTCTATAAATAGGTGCAAAAACACAAATCATTAGTTTGGTAGTCATTCAACCTACTTCCATTTCATTGAGTTCCCGAGTAATTTTTTCTTAACTGTAAAAGAGCATTTGTAACTATAAAATTTGAAGTTAAGAACCTTCCTTGCTTACTCAAGTCTCAGCTCGCAGTCCTTCCCGAGCCAGTTCAACTTCATATCTAACAACAATCTCTCTTGCTCTCCTCAGCATCCCCATTTTCTCAATTGATTATGCCAACATAATATTCCCAGCAAAGTTTCCTTTTTCTATTCTTCCATAATTCACTAAAAGATTCCAACTTTTACTGCATTCGCATTCCAAGGTCCAGATTATTTATTTCCTCTAAAACCAGAACATTTTAAACTCACCTCTCCAGTTATCTATCTTAAGTGAAATCCCAAAATGCATAAGCATCTGGAATTGAGGGCATTCGCAAAGACATAGAGAGCGAACCTGAGGAGGATACACGACCTGTGGTAAGCAACACTCAAGATCTTCAAGGTACAAGCTACGGGGTCAGACGAGGATCTCGATGGCAACGGAGTGACTCTCGAGGACAACGGGATGGTGGGAACGAAGTGCAAGTGGTAGAAGTTAGTTATTGGAGATGGAGAAGGCGATCAGACGGCGGAGAAGGCGACTGGAGATGCAGGCGGGGGAGGGAGAAGCTGAATGAGAAGATTGCTTTGACGATGGAGGGCATTTTGGTCCGTAAAATTTCAATCTGGGGAGCACATTTTGGTAGCGTGACTTAACGCTCAGTTTGGATAAAAAGAAGAGTTGAAAAGGAAAAAACATTTCAGAAGAGAAAAAGAAAATTAAAAAAAAATATTATCACTTTTATATTTAATAGACAAGCAAATTAAGAAGAAAAAAATAAGCAAACATTATAATAATATAATACCCTCATCGTAAAATATATCATTTCTATATAATTATATTTATAAAATAAGTTGAAAAATTATATTAAAATAACATAACTAAGTGATTTAAAATCAAATTAGTGATAAAAATGAATTTCATGTTATTATAATTTAGTAAACATATGTTATTTTCTATTTAAAAAATTAAAAGTATGTATTTTTAAATTAATACAATAACAATTTTTGGCCTAAGTTTAAGGTACTGTCTACAATTCAGATCCTTATAATTGATAACAATTTACAAATAAGCTCACTCTTGACCCTTTTGTAGCAATAGAATTCTATAACAAAGTGTAGGCTAATAACTTTACGATAGTGGAAGATTGAAAGAGACTTGTGGAGAGGAACAATCTATAAATGAAATATCTCAACAATTTTTCTAAGTGGAGGTGGTATGGGGAAGAAGAAGTATTGCTTGAGTTAAAAACTGTTCGTGTTACAAAAATAAGACCAACAAAATGTAAGAGAGCAAGAAAAGTAAGAAAGAACCAATTTCTTCCCAAAATCTCTCCATGTGTGGAGAGAAAATTTGAGGGAAAAATATGGTGAGTTTTATATCTCATTTTCTCTTTCACTTTTTCTTTCTTCTACTTTCTTTCCTTGTCCAAAGAAAAAAATTTATTTTCTCTTGATTTTTTTTCATATTTTCTCTCATCCATACAAAATATAAAAATAAAGGGAAGGAAAGAGCAAGGAAGAAAAATTAGAAAAAAATAATAGAAAATTCTCTGTTTGACTATAAAGGGAAAAATAGAAAGGAGGTAAGAAAATGAAGAGCAAAAAAATATAAAACTCATATATTTTAATTTTAATTTTTCTCTAAATATGAAGGATTTTTTAAAAATATCTCGATCAGCAATTTGTTTATGAATCTTTTCATTTCTTGCATGTTGCCTCTCTTCATTTTTGTTATAATTTTTTCCTCCCCTTAAAAATTTAGATTAATCATAGATGAATTGAAGAAAGAAAATTAAAATAAAAAATATTTTTGGCTAGCATCAGGTAAAAAATGTTACAATTATATTTTTATTTAATCAATAATGTACAATAAAATTATATAAATAATATGTTTAAAAATAAAATTTATTATATAAATACTTTTCTGTAAATAATAACATTATTATTATTCATATGAAATTATAATTTTCTTTAGTTTCATTTTATCTCATTCAGTCAAGCATGGCGAGATAAAAATCATCTCTCTCTCCTTTTCTCTTTTCTCATTCTCTCTCCTATCTCTCTTCCTATTTTCCTCCCGAAGTCCCACACAACATGAGTCCCAATGAATTTCACGATTTCCTCCTCACCCTCCTAGCTTTCTCGCGTCCATATTTAACTTGACAGTATAGATTAAATAGTTTAATTTTTTATTTAGGAAAGTAAAAAATTAGTAAATTTTTTATTATTAATCCGTAATTTGAACTGTCCATATGAATAGGAAAGGTTCAAATTTAATATTAAAAATATTTATAAATTTATTATCCAAATATTCTCTAACTATTTTTAAATTTAAAATTTTTAACTCATAATTTTGTTAAAAAATATAAAAAATGTATGTTAAAATATTATATTTCATTTTTAATATTTTATTATCAAAATAAAATTTATAAAATCATAAAAAAATTAATGTTAAATTTGCACTGTCTAGAATGAATCTGTATAATCATTTTGGGCTTAGACCCAAATAGATCCATAAACTCAATTTTTTTAAACTGATCACTTTTTAAAGTTAAGCTCTTATTTAACGGGTTCAACGCAAACCCATAAGCTCATTTAAAGAAAAAGTAAATTTTTAAAATAAAGTTCAACATTATACCAAAATGCTACTAAAGGATACATAAACTTAGGATTTTGGCAGGTGTATTAAGAACATTAACCATGGTGATTAGTAATTTCATGCTTCAGTGATGAATCGCTTACAATTCAGAGCAAAAAAAGAACTGAATTCAATAAGGAGGAACAAAATCCGGAAAAGGGAATGACTCACCTCTACTCCAACAATGCCAAAATAGAACCATCAGAACCTCAATAAAGTAGTATGACATTAATTTGTAAATAATGACCAAGGAACAAGAAGCAACCACGACAGACCATTGGAGTTCTGAAAGTCAAAACAAGAAAACATGATATAACACGAGAAGGTAATAGTAGAAAGCACCAAAAAGTTTTGAAAAAACAGCAATAGTAAAACTGAAAGATCTAGTTGGGCTCATAGGCCTTGACAGTCTACTTAAAGGCAAATCCTGTTTTGTTTGCATAGAATAGGGGGCCCCGAGAAAACACAGGAAAGCAAGTCTTCTAACAACCCGAAGTGTTTCTTCACTCGCAGAAGTCTCCTCCATAGATGTGACTGATGCTGCAGTGAAGATAGTCTTCATGGGTGTAAATCATGTCATTAATTGGCAAAGCTCTGTGTTTCATTTTTTTTTTAAAGAAAAATAAATAAATACTAAGCTTCATAGGCCAGGCCGCGGGAACTTGTTTTTATTGAATTTCGAACTTTATTATACTAAATTTTCTTTTTCTTTTTAAGTCTGAACCTTTTAAAAAATAATTTTAAATGAGTGACCTGTCCTGTCAAACATGATCCATATTCTCCAATCTAATTCTATTCTACTAATTTCAAAATTCTGATCCCAGTTTAAAATCAATTTCCTTTGTGGCTCATGCCAAACAAGGCTTAAGATGATAGCAAGATTTTTTTTTTTGACAGTATGATAGCATATTTGATTCGGATTAAAGGATATTTTTTACTTTTTAATTATTCATTTAAGGGTATCTTTATCTTAAATTTATATGTGATATAATTTTCTCCTTCAACTTTGAAAATAGTGCACTAGGACCCTGTCATTAAAAAAAATTAATGTTGATCATTAGTTGATCAAAAAATCACATAAAAGATCCAAAAATTATAGAAAAGAGTTTATAAAATTGCAAAGAAGCATCTTATAAGAAAATTAATATCGATCAAGTTTTTTTTGAAGTCTTTTTTAATCAACTAATGATTAAAATTAATTTTTATTAATGACAAAGGTTAAATTGCTCTATTTTTAAATGTTAAAAAAATTATATAAAAATAAGTTAAAATTTTAAACGTTATAATTTAAGAGTCTATTTACTCTTTGAGTTCGTTGAACATGTGTGGAGGCTTCTATGAGGAGGGGAGAGAGATTTTAATGTGAAAGCCTATTTGATTAATCCATTTAAATTTATTGGCCCAACTTTAGTTACATATCCCAAATGCAATATTTTAGACCTTAACATAAAAAAATACATAGGAGTTGGTCTTGGTTTGGATTTAACCACAACCAAACCAATCTACCATGAAGTTTATGGGACGGGATGAGATTGAATTGAAACATTCTTGTCTCGTGTCTCATCCCAAAAAAATAATCAAGAAAGAATTTTTGTTCTGTATTTCATCCCATCTCATTCCATTAAAAATTGGGACGAGAGCGGAGGGAGATCAATACGTCTATTATTTCAATAAAATGGACAATGTGAAAGAAAGGCCTATATAATAATATTCATTGGTTAAAATTTTAAATTATATAATTTATTAAGTTTAAAACCAAAACAATGTGAGCACATAAATTACATCAATTATTAAATTACATTAATCACAACTATAAGTGTATAATTTAAAGTTAAGTATACACAAGATATAACACATTATAATAATAATTACAAGTGACCCTAGGTTTATAAGAGTGAGATCAACAGACAAGTCTAGCACAACATCAAGTCGTTATTTTTTTCTTTAATTGAAACATGTTAAGTTAGTTACTTTTTCCAAAAATAAAGCAAGAGATACGACATAAACAAAATTATTAAATATGTAAACATAAGAACAAAATATATTAATATAATTAATATATTGTAAAGAATATTATCATGTATTGCTTACTCTATATCATTAAAATTATCAATATAAAAAAGTTTAATTTTAAATAAGAATATCACATATTTAAATTATAAATAATATAAGTATAAATTATATTAACATAATTAATATATTTAATATTTATTTTTAAAATAAAAAATAATATATATTTATATTTATATAATATTCAGGACGGAACGTCACGCATCTTATCCCATCCTAATTGTTTTTGTGCTGAGACAAGATCTGATCTGATATAATAAGAACGGAATTCAGATGGATGCAAGATGAATACCTCCAGTGAGAATCAAACCAACAAGATGGATTTCTTTTGTGTAAAAAAAAAAAAAACACACACACACGTGAACACGCTCATGCTGTAATCTTTCCATTTTTTCCCCCTCCTTTTAATGTAGTTTGCTTTCATTTCCAAAAGAATGACATCTTTTTAGCTTTCTGTCCGGCCAAAACACGGACTTCGTTCCACCTCATGAAAACAAGCCGACCCCATTGTTTTTTTATTTATTTTAAACATCAAAATTCAAAGCACATTTTTCTCTGACATCCCCTTCCGCTCCGGCAAACCCGAGACATCTCATTTACTACTGGGCCCATTTGTATCTTAGTAAGATGCACTCTCCTTTGAGTATTAATTAAAAATAAAATTATTTAATTTCACGCTTCTTAAAAAATGAGATTAATATTTTAAATTTATAAAAAATATTTTATTTTTAAATTTTTTTAGAAGTGATGGTCAACTTATATTGTATTAATAGATAAGACATTTTTATTCTGAACTAATTTTTTAATTGCCAAAAACTTTGTTTTACTGATGTGACATGTACTGTTTGATTTCATATAAAATATTTTTAATTGAATATCATCCCTTAATAAAATAATTATTTATTTTTAATTAATTTTATTTTTTATATTTATTTTTATTAAACACTCTACAATAAATATAAAGTCATTATCAATAGTGGTATTTTAAAAAAAAAGGCAATGATTACGTCTCAAAAGACTAAAAATGACTTATATTTTTTAACATCTAACCTTTTAAAAAGTACTTTACATTTTTTGATGGAGGAAGTATTAATTTGCCATTGAATTCTTCTTTTAAAAACACTGAGCACTTTAAAAATATTTTTTAAGAGTATTGAATACCTTAAAATTTAATAAATATTGTTAAAATATTACATTTTTTTATATTTAATAATTTAAATATTATTATTTATAATTATTAATACAAAATTTGTAATTTATTTTTAAAATATTAACAACTCAAATTACTTTTTCAAAAATTTATGGATTACTTGTAACTTTTATATATCAATCCTACTTTTAATATTGATTAAGTTCCTAAATTTTTTATATCATTTTTATAATTTTTTTAATTAACTAATGATCTTCTTTTAAAATATTGTACCATCTAAATTTAACACTCTCTATACATTATAATGTTAAGGGTAAAATAAAAAGCATAACAAATCAGGACTAACATATCAATAAAAAATACTTATTTAAAAAATATTGACTATTCTATTAATGTGCTATAAGAAAAGCTACTTAACAAAAAAATAATGAAGAGATAAGAAAAAAATATTTCTTCGTTAATTTGGAGGTTTATTCCTTTTATTTTAATATAAAATTGTAAAATATCAAAACATTAAAATATTAAATTTGGTGGTACAATATTTAAAAGAAAACCATTAGTTGATAAAAAAAATTGCTAAAAACGATTGGTATATAAAAAATTATAAGTCATTTGTACATTTCTAAAAAATTCATTTGAACTGCTAATATTTTAAAAATAATTTTAGAAATTTTGGATGAACATTTATAAAAAATAATATTTAATATTTTAACAAAAATTTAAGACGTCTAACATACTTAAAAAGGGACTTCAAGGTTAAATTAGCATCAAAATACATAGTAAAAATTTTACTTGTTACTATACATGGACCATATGCATATGGCATTTTAGTAGAAAACAACAAAATTAATGGCTAACTAATAGAAAGGATTTTTGTTTCCTAAAAAAATAATTAAAAAAATTAATTTACTTATCAATATCAAGTACCTAGTGCTCCTCAAAAAAAGTTTAAAGATAAAAATGCATATTAATCCAAAAATATTTATTTTTTCAACTTTATTCTTATTAATGATTGTTATAATATAGTGTATCTAAGAACTACTCCCTCCATTTTCAAATATAAGAGAAACTATTACATGTTTCTTTATTTTTTTATAAGTAAAATTACAAATTTTAATAAGCATTTATCACATTTTTCCCAGATTATCTCTCATAAAGTCAATGCTTATTTTTACAAGATGAACTTGTTTCCATTAATTACAAGAACAATTAGTTCAAATTTAATTTTAACTTCAAACATATTTATTATACTCAAGCAATTGTGTGAATTGATTTTTTTTATATTTGTAACCTGAGGGAGTACAACTTAGGGTAATTAAAGAGGGGCAATATTAAAAAAAATTAACTATTATTCCCACCTTATCAATTTATAATATATTTTTAGATAAAATTATATATATAATAACGCTTGTTAAATATACTTTACAATATTATTTTTTTAAATAAAAATATAAATTTTTTAAATTTTTTTCATTTAATACTTAATTTATAAAAAAAATAAAAAAAGAGAATATAATACAAAATAATATTTAAAAATTATTATTAATGAAACGTGTTTTATCAAAGTATTTTATATCTCGAATGCCAAATTTTTTTTAAAAATATTTTATGAATTGGGATAAAGTGGTATATCTTTAACTTATATCTATGACTAAGTAAAATTTTAAAACTTTACCCCTATAATTATAACATCAGAAATATACACATATACACATATACATTTCTTCCGGTCCTATAATTGTAACGCAAAAAATATAGTTAAAGGTAGTAGCTAATAAACTTATTCTCTTAAAAAAATATTTCCCTTTTCCAAATCTACCTTTATTCAATTTCATTGACAAATTTGAGATACTTTCTAGATTTTATTTTCCCACCTACTTAACATTATTTGATAGGGATATATTTAAAAATAACTAATAAATTTTGCCTCTTTCATACTTCGTAAACGGTTATATATTTAGGATAAAAAATGTGGAAAATGGTCATGTATTTAACACCAGTGGGAGTATCATATATTCATATATGATTATATGTCTGGCCAAAAAAAAAAAAGATTATATGTACTCTCTTCATTCGATATGAATTAATCTCTTTTAATCAGACGGTGCATGAATTTAATGGTGCTGTAACTGTAAGTATATACAAGCATTTATATCCGTTGAAACAACGTACAGGAACTACTAGTTGCCTAGTTGGTGGTATAATTTATGGAGATTAAAAACATAGCAGTACCGTGTATAATCTAAACCCCAGACACAGAACTAATACACAACGAGAATTCAAAATCTCATGGGGAAAAAAAAATCTTCACAACATGAAAAAAAAGAGACAGTTGGATTCAATGTCATTAAATTAATATAATATATTTATTATTTCTAATAAGTTATTGACTATTTCACAATCAAAAATAGTAGCAGCATGACTTAATCTTTGAGACATATTTATTTAGTGATTATAAAGATATATACTTTTTTAAGAACTTGAAGTATCCTTTAGCAACGGCAAAAATTCGAGAACAAAAATTAATTTAATATATTTATTATTTGTAATAAGTTATTCACAGTTTCACAATCTGAGATAGTAGCTGCATGAGTCACTGTTTGAGACATATTTATTTAGTCATTATAAAGATATGTACTTTTTACGATTTCAATTATAAAGCATTTTTTCAGTTAAACTTGATCCAAAATGTGAAACTCAGTACATTTTGAAATTATTTTTTCAAATTCACTCTTGTATTAATGAATGCGATTAAATAGACTTGACAATAAAATAACTTATTACCATGATAATTAAGAATTAATCATTCTAATCATCATATCATGGTAAAAAGAAACTAATTACAGTTAAATAAAACTAATTATAATAGAAAAGGAAAGACTCAGCTCAAAATCTACTATAGTTATTTGGATTAAACATAAAACTTGAAATAAAATAGTGCAAAAACACAAATTATTGGAATTTTTAGTTGTCAACTTAAGCCAAAGCATACCGAATACATGCATAGCAGCATAAATCATACACGCCTTTAGAAGCATAGGATATCGATCTGCTTGAAAACTTAGTTTAAAAAAAAGGATAAAAATCAATATTTTACAATCATAGTAACACTTGCTGCGGCTTACATATATCCTGCCATGCCATGACCTCATCGACGCTGCGTTTACTTTTCATGATAAAGAGGTTAAGGAAAAAAGGAAACGTGTCATTTTTTTATAGGAACAAAAAAAATACTTTAATTTTTCACAATATAGTGAATAAAGTTTCACGTACTTATGTGCAGAGGTGTTTATATTTAACAGTCAATTATATTCTAACAAGAAAATAACTGTTTGCAATTTTTTTTAAAAAAAAGCTACTTTCACATTTATATGAAATATAATTGGGAGTGTTTACAATTTGAATCCAGCGAGCACATACAGAATGTGGTGAATGAAACGCAATTTTATTTGGAAGCGATAGGTGTACGTGGAATGCAAACAAAATTTGTGTACATGGAATGTCAATTGTCACACAAGCGACTCTCCCAAGGCGATGACGTTCTGAAACAATAACCACAAGGGAAAAGGATAAAGCAGCAGATATACTTGCGGGTCGTGGTTGACTTCACCCAACAGTCTGTCGAGTTACAAATCGAAGGGTTTAGATGTATACTATATAATATCGCAAGGAATGTTACCGGAGAGAGACGAAGATGAAGAAGACAAGCCCCCACGCACACAAAACCCGAAACGGACAACTCATTGGACTCTCTGAAGCATGCATTTATGGACTCTGTAACTGTTCCGAGGCTGCTTGCGTTCTCAGGTTTTGTCAGATCTCAGGACTATGCTAATGCTATTGCGATGCATTCTCTTCCACACACACTGAACAGACCCCACTCTCCCCGCCTGTTACTGTGGAATGACTTGCCATCTTGCCTGGTCTCTCCTATGGTACGCCAGTTCTTATCATTGCCCTTTGATGATTTTGCTGTGCGCTAACATGGTGTGGTTAGGGGTTTACCAAATCTTGATGAGAAAGAATGCAGATGAACTGTTTGATAATTTGTCTCACTGGCAATTGCATGTGGCTAGTGACTAGCCATGGCTTAAATTCATGGCCCCTTATGAAAATTTTAGAGCTTTTTACTGTGTGAAAACACAAGAAAGAAATTTCATCGCTTTTTGGCTAGCTAGGGCAATTTATGTGTCTAGCGATTTTCTTAGTTTCTGGAGGCATACCGGAAGCAAATACCATCCTCCATCATCATACTTGTCAGGGTTTGAATTGGCTTCATCCTTCATGTCTGGAACCAATTTAAGACTAATGTAGAGATGAATATTTTTTATGGAAAAAAAAAAGGCTGACATGTGGGACCACCAGTACCGCTCTGTCTCCACTTTCCTTCCCTCTTTTTCTTCATTCTTTATGTTTCTAACTTTCAAAGCTCTTCCAGGTCCCCAAAAAAAAAAAAAACTTTCTAACCTCTTAAGAGTTTTTCCCCCTAAAAATATTTATTATTAAAAAATGAATTGTTTTCAATTGCTTTCTATTGGATATTTTGTCCTATCTTAAGGTCGCACGTTTGGCCTTAGGTTCATAACCCACACATTTATAGACCTTTTGATTAGTGCTTATTAGTTTTTAATTGATGGATCTATCCCTCACTAAGTGTTTATCTGTTGATTGATAAGCATAAGACCATACAGAACGTGTTGCTGTCCATCACATGAGCTTCAAAGTTTTTGCTTAAAAAAGAGAGGACAACGCTTTATTGAAGGCACAAGAATGTCGAAACTGCAGAGGACTCATGTTAATTGCATATCCTGTTTAGGACTATTCTCAATCTTCTTTCTCTCTGGTTGGGTCCTTAAGACACCTCCAATATGCTTAACCTCCATGTTGAGCTTATGGTTACCTTCTTCACATATACTGATAAAATTACGTTTTTATTCCTATTTTTGTATAGCAGAATGCAAGATACGTTATCACCAATAGCTAGTTAAGGAATCTGGCATGTTTGAAGTTCTTTTTAATTGCTAGAGCAACACGGGAGCAAATAGTATCTCCTGCGATAGCCAATGACAGGTGCCGATCACGTGCTGAAGGGGACAGCAAGGATTTGTTGACCAAATTTGCAGTGAACCCTGTTTCTGAGATAAGTATGTTGTTCATTCTTGACAAGTTAATAATAAGGTCATGATGACACATGCACCACCCATAATCGTTATTTCCCCCCTTCAATTCAATGACTTATTATCTCATTTCAGATCCTGTGTCTCTCTGTGCACGGACTGGAACCTCACTTGAATGCTCCTCCAAAAGGAACATGGGCATGAGACTTGTACTTTTCACCAATCTCATTCACCACTGCATTTTCTGTCCTGCTCCATCTCTTTCCTTTTTGTCTATTCCTTGAAGTTCATAAATGCTTTGGAATGATAGGTCATAATTCACATATTACATTTTATTTATATGATAAGACACGTTAAAATAATAAGATATGCGCATAGAACTCTCTCATTCTATATCCATATTTGAATGTTCAGTTTCAAGTTTATTAAATATATATGTTGAATATCCTTCTCAAATTAAAGCATAGATGCTTTTAAAAAAAATAATGTTTTTATTTGATGTCTTTTAGATGGCACAAGACTCTAAGAATTTTGTGATTTAAAAGTAGAATAAATTTTCTTATTGTTTCATCTGATAAAATATCAGAGCCGTGACCCTACCTAGAGAAATTTTGCTCACTGAGTGACATAGGTTGAAAAGTCATTTTTGCTGCAATCTTTATATATTTTAACATGTTGTCCTTGGCACTGTAAGCAATTTATTTGTATTCACAGATTATTTTGCCCTATTCCATTAGTTGGATCTTAAATTCTTTTTTATTTTATTTATTTTTATATTTAGGGTCTAAAATACTTTATGGGCATTAATGTAATCTCTTCAATAGTCCATGCTAAGAAAAATTATCATTATCATTTCACTTTTATAAATTTTTTTTCAACAAAGTAATCTTGTAAGCCTGTTTATTAATCTATTACCACAGGCGAGTCCTAAATAAAAAATTCTTGTAAGCCAGAAATAATTGAATATTCACATTAATTCAATTTCTATTATATAAAATAATGACTTAATGACTTATTCTACTTCACACCTACGAATGTACAAAAAGTTCAATATACCTACCTACCTTACTGTATCTTTATTTTGTGCCCCTCTATATATATATCCATTCCATTTCCATACCCTTATTCTCTCAAGAACTGAACCAACAATCTGAAGAGAAGCAATGTCAAAAGCAGGCTCATCAAGATGGAGTCCAACCCCAGAGCAGCTGATGATTTTGGAGGAACTGTACAGGAGTGGGATTAGAACTCCTAGTGCCTCCCAAATCCAACACATTACAACTCACCTTTGTTTCTATGGTAGGATTGAAGGAAAGAATGTGTTCTACTGGTTTCAGAATCACAAGGCCAGGGATAGGCAGAAGCTCAGGAGGAAACTAAACAAGCAGCTCCAACTACAACAACTGCAACAGCAGCAGCAGCAGCAACATCAGATGCTAGTCCACCAATGCCAGGTGATTAATCAGGATAAGACTCATCGTTGGTTTTTTGGTGGCTTTGATTCTTCTCTTGGTTCTTCTGCCCAACAAGTTTCTTTTTATAACCCAGCCATCTTGCTTTCTCAGGTAATCTTCATTTTACTGTTGGTTATTGTACTTATTCTGCTCTTCTCTATATTGGAATCTAATTAAGAAGCATAACACAAGAGACCTGCAAAGCACCAATACGTCATAGTAATGTGCAACACTTATAATTGATATAACACGCCATTTTAAATTACATTTTCTTGCTAAATCCTGTTGCATGTTTTGTATCATGGTGCCAGTATATTTTATTCATGTTTTATATCCATTTTTGTGCAATTTGAATATTTTTACGCTCATAAAATTGAATATAGATACATATATTGTACATATTATGGTTTAAAAATTAAAACAATGTTGGAAGGCACAAAAGGCACTCGGGGCTTGGACTTCTGGGTTAACATGATTACATCCTCAATTACCATACAAAAATGGTATAATACAATAAAACATGTAGGGTACGGATATTATTTGAATTATTCTGTCATGTTGGACGGTACAGGTGCATGTTAAAGTACATGTTCTTCCCGGATCACAATATATAGTACAATTCTGATTGTGAAGTAGAGGGCAAAGAAAATGGAGGGATTGAGGGTTGAAGTCTTTGTATTGAAAGTCACATATTTTCCAGGTTGAAGCATGAAGTCTCAAAGTTGTACTTCTTCTTTTGGACTTATTTCTTAATTTGATATGTTCAGGGAGAAGCAGGAGAGACATCATCAGAGACATGGAAGATTGCGCAGAACCAACAAAGTGAGGTGGATAAAACAACGAGTACGTCATCACTTTACAACTATGGTATGATGAATTGTTGGAGTTTTGTCGATGTTAATGAAGCATCCTCATGTTGCACAAGCCGGCCTCTCAAGACTCTTGACCTGTTTCCAACCGCATCCTCCAAACTCAGAGAAGACCCCTTAAACCTAGAACTCTGATCACAGTGAAGAAGCTAATGATCTCTCTCTCTCTCTCTCGCCCCTTTTAGGAATCTATGATAATGTACTATTTACTTGCAGACCTTGGTCTTGTATTGTACGTAGGGCCTCGAGCCATGGCTTTTCAAAACATGATAAAACCATTCACCGTTTAGATTATATTGTAGAAATATGCACAACATTCTCCTCGGTTAACGTTTGTCGGTACCTGATTTGAAAGATTTATTATTATATAACGTTACATATAACCTGAAACGCAAATTTTACGTTGTGCTTTTAGAAGTACACGCATATAGAAGATACAATAAGCATTGTCCAAGTAATGTTAATTTATGTCAACAAACGTTTTTAGTAGAAAGGGTTACGATTATTTAAACACTGTCGAGTTTAAGTTTGTGTAAATGTGTAAAATATTTTGAGAAGCTACTCTCAATTGGACATAACAATATTTGAATTTAATTTAATTGGACGGTGATATAAAAAGAAGTTATGTTAATTTGTATTCTTAAAAAAAGAAGATGCAACTAATGACGTCTTGGAGTATGGTTAGTAAGTTTAAGTTGATGTCCTTTGATATTGAAGTGTCAAGATACGCACCCACGAAGTAAACCATACAAAGTTGATACGGTGTGAATATGATTTACTCATTTCATTTGTGGCATGAATTGCTCCAGAGCTTGATAAACAGAGGCGATTAACTTAAATGTGTGTCTCGCCAGTATTTATTTGTTTTTTCATGGGAGCAACGTAGAAAAAAAAAATTTATGCGTGTAACATAAAAAAAATTCTCTTCATGTTTGCTTTAATGATAAAAAATAATTTTTGTGTCTTTATGTAAACTTAATAGAAAATTATAATTCTTAAACAATGATAATAAAACATGAACGATATTATAAAAAACAAATGTTTATACCTTCCTCTCTCTCTCTCTCTCTCTCTCTCTCATTGCTGATCGTACATTCGGTCATGTTCAAGCCTTTTTTTGTTTTTGGGTTGCTGCCTTGTTGGAACCAATCTGTAATTGTGAAATTTACGGAGAAGAACCGCAGAGAGAAATTGACACTAAAAGACCATAGATTTGTGATATGACAGAAAAGGATAATAGTTTAGTAGTTGGCAACATAGTTCATTGGGAAAATGACAATTAGAGATTACAGGATATTGATGACAAACACCAAAATATTAAAATGCCTAATTCTCATTAATGCCTTTTAAGAGTTATTTGTTAATACCTATCTATATGTAACATATTTATAGTCCAAATTTAGGGAGAATATTAACAAAAGATCCCTAAAAGAATTTAATATTTAATAAATATTTCTAACAAGGAAATATAAATAAATTAATAAGAGAAATTATTGTTTTAACAAGTATTAATCTGTTCAACATTCTTGTTAGATATTAAATTAAATTCTTTCAAAAAAAATATGTATATTCTCCCTTTAATTTATGCTGATTAAACTAGCATTGGAAGAAGCACATTGTGCCAGTATTTACCAAAAATGCATTAGAAATAACTATATGCCTGCGCTTCCTATAAGATTTCAATCAAATAAAATGTTTGCTTTCTAATTTTCACTCTGCAAAATTATATTTGATGCCACCGTGTAATTAATTTCATCTTTACAGTTGTGGTCTCCTCAAAAGTCAAAATACTGATATCTCCTTTTCAATGTGTTGATAACTTGCTCAAAGACTTTGGGCAAAATAATGATGATGATGATGATGATGATGATAAGAACGAGAACAACAACAACTTGCTCTAAGGTTATTGTGCAAGTTACATTTTCTCAAGCTGCTAATATAACATCACCGACATGTGAGAACTATATATTAGTTCATTCGTTAAAGAAACTGTAATTTTTTGTTTTGTTTTTTTATAAATAAAATTACATATTTCAATAAATATTTATTATAATTTTTTTAAATTATCTCTTATAAAACCATAATCTTTATTCACGAGACACATTTAATGCAACTTTATTTTGATTAAATACATAGGTATTTTAGTCTATTTTTTGTTTTCATACATAATTATTATAATTAATTAATTTTCGTAAATCGTGTTATACGATTATTTTCTTTTCTATGTGACAAATAGAGGGAGTTCAGTCATTTACAATGTAATGGCAGCTGTGCAATCTCGGTCCATCATGCAGATTTTTTTAAAAAAAGTAATTTTAAAATTTAAATAATATTAGGAAATAAATTATGTATAATTATATATAGTTTTCAAAAACAAATTTAAAAATATATGTAGAATCATGTCCTTTATTATAATTTATATATCTAAAATTGATTTTAATTTAAACCATCCAAATAGGTTCAATTTTATTGTAATTTACACATCTAGAATTATGTCTTTCTCTTTGACTAAATCTATTTGAACTTAGATATATTGATTTATTTTTTACATGCATTAAATTATTAATATTACTATAATTTAAATTTCTATAATTAATTGGATATATAATTTAAATAATATATTTTATTTGTTGAATAAAGTTGAAAAAATTAATAATATTATATACAACTTTATTAATATTTTAATTTTAAAAAACAATGTATCTTATGATAATTTGTACATCTAAACAGGCACTAATTAATAAAAAACCATTAAGTTTGGCAAATGGTTTTTAATAATAAATTATATTGTTGTTAAAAATATCTAAACACCTATATATGTCCAAACAATGATTTTCTTAAAAAAATATTCAAATATATTTATGTATATGTCAAAATCAATTATGGATAAAAAAATATGATTTGTAAAATAATTTATATGATATTTGGATAAATTTTTAGAAAATTATAATTGAAAAAATAAATTGAAAAGAAGCTAATACTAGCTCATAATATAACCATGGTTTTGTATTCATAATTACTTTAGGCTTATATGAGAGTATTTGAATATTTTTTAATAAAATGATTATGGATTCATAATTGATTTTGACATGTATAATGAGTGTTTGGATAGTTTTAAAAAAATATGACTTTAAATTTATAATTAATTTTAACATATAATATGGGTGTTTGGTTATATTTTCACAAACCATGGTTTACTTGATTTCAATTCTGATTAAAATCAATTTTATTAGTCAATATTATAAATTAATTATATATCATATAACATCTCATTATTTATATTCAAAATCAATTACATTAATCAATTTTTTCTAATAGATATCCAATCAAAAGCAATGGTTTTTTATGATAAATTAATTTTGACATGTATAATAGGTATTTGAATATTTTCAAAAAAACATAGTTTTAGATTTATAATTGATTGTAACATTTAATAGGGGTGTTTAGATATATTTTTATGAAATTATGATTTTAATCTCTAAAATTGATTTTAGAGACTATCCATACCGGCACTTATTTGCTGTCACAGCATATTATGATTCTCAGTACCATTATTGATCAAATTAGTCGTTGGCTCTAATTGAATGATAAATGTGTATATAACCAACCATCAATAATTTATCTATCACTGTGGTCCCTTCCTGGTAGAGCCTTAAAGCTCATACGTGTACTAGGTATTCGTTTATTCATCAATATTGAGTTATATTCTCACAAACCATGATTTTATTTTATTTTCAATTCTGCTTTTCAATTTTAATTAAAATCAATCTTATTAGTCAATTTTATAAATTAATTCTATACCACATAACATCTCATTAATCAGATTCAAAATCAATTGCATTAATCAATTTTTTTCTAATGGACATTCAGTCAAAAGCAATAGTTTTTTATGACAAATTAATTTTGACATGTACAATAGGTGTTTGGATTTTTTTAAAAAAATATAATTTTAAATTTATAATTGATTTTAACATTTAATATGAATGTTTAGACATATTTTCATGAAATTATGGTTTTGACATCTAAAATTGATTTTAGACGGGCACTTGTTTGCTGTCACAGCATGATATTGTTCTCAGTTCCATTATTGATCAAATTAGTCCTTGGCTCTAATTGAATGATAAATTATGTATATAACTAGCCATCAATAATTTATCTACCAATATGGTTCCTTCCTGGTAGAGCCTTAAAGCTCATACGTGTACTGGGTATTCGTTTGTTCATCAATATCGAGTTGCTTTCATATCGTGCACTTGAAGATTAAAAGCTTGGTGACGCAAAGGAATGGACTTTAAGGACATGGGGGGTCAGCTTTAATGGTGATTGACATGGACTATTCTGAGTGAGTTACTGTGAGCAAAACCATCTATTCTTTAAAGTAACCACTAAACTGTCATGTTCATCGTTCATGCCACTCATCAATGTTGTTAATGCAGGGTGTGGCCAATAAGTAACGTTTCTGCAAAATATATGCCACTCATGTGTCCATCTTTATATTTTGTTCTCTCAATCAAAATGGCTTTATTTTACTACCCACACAGAATTGCAGAGCCGGAGATTTACATTTTTTTTCAGTGCGGGACTGCCCTACATTAAGTTGAGGAGACCTTAACAGAGTCCAAACTAATTAGGATGAGTCAGGTCAAGACCCTTTCAGGTGGAAGATCTACCACCAAACTACTGCATTTCTATGAATTGAGTGAAAAGGAGAGGAAAAAAATATGGAATTCTCTTATGCTTTGTCTGGATGGAGAGAAAACATGGGAAGAAAGAAAACTAGACAGGAAAATAAGGGAGGATATAACTTTTCTTCTAAATTTTCTCCTATCCATCCAAGCACGAAGGGTAATGACTTTTTCTTTTTAGTTTTCTCTCATTTTCATTTTCTTTTTTTTCAATTTTTCTTCTCATTCAAACGAAGGATTATAATCTCATGTAAGCCTTACTTTCACGAATCATGACTTAAATTTTCTACAACAATGTGATTGTATATTCAAACAGATCCAACAACAATAAAAACTCATTTATTATATGAAGTTGGCTAAAGGGATTGACACAAATTCTGCATGAAATTTATTTTAGCTCAGTGATTACTTATATGGATTCAATTTAGAAAAGGAGATTCAAATTCATGCTCCTCCCTGTCTTTCTCCTATATGCGCTTAAAGTTACTGCATCCGATTTGAAAGTGAACGCTTAAAAGTAAACTGTCCTGTTCATCATTCATTTCACTGATCAATATTGTTAATGCAACTTGTGGCCATTAAATAACGCGCCTGCAAAATACATGCTGTTCATGTGTCAATTTTTATTTTGTTCCCTAAAATAATTTTGATGTCTTG